CCCGTCCCTGCCCTCGGCCTCCGCGGACGAGGGCGACGGCCCGGCCGAGGTCTCCATCGGCTCGCACACGGATTTCCAGCTGTTCACCATGCTGTGGCAGGACGACGTCGGCGGGCTGCAGGTGCTCAACCGCGAGGGGCAGTGGATCCGCGCGTCGCCGGTGCCGGGCACCTTTGTCGTCAACATTGCCGACTACCTGCAGCGCATCACCAACGACCTGTACGTGAGCACGGTCCATCGGGCTGTGAACCGCAGCGGCAGGGAGAGGATCAGTATGCCCTTCTTTTTCGGCTTCGGGCTGCACGAGAGCTGTGCTGTCATCAAGAGCTGCCTAAAGGACGGCGAGGAGCCGAGATATGAGGATATTGGATGTGACGCGTGGGTGAAGAAGAGGGCCCAGGCCATGCACAAGACGGATGCAGATGACGAAGATGCAAACTGAGGCCAGAGCGACACGTGGTAACAACGATGTAGAAACGAAATCAACAAAGGACTGAAATACCTCAAGGTGCAATCGAAGTGCTGGTGAATAGTGATTCCAATGCTACAGATATCTTGCATAGCTACTTCGAAACAGAAACCAAGGTAATTTGAATCAAACCACGCCGTCCCGGTTGTGCCCATTATCATACAACAAACAACAAGGCCAGGCAGCGCCGTTCTACCAGTTCAACACCCCCTTCCAATAATGTGACCAGGCAACGCCAAGACAAACTCTCAAACCACTCAGTCCCGGAACATTAATTTCACCTCTTTTGACACCCGTGCTACTCGCCGTCTAGCAGCGCGTCCATCCCGTTGCGCTCGTTTTCAAAGCTCTCCGCTGTCGGTACAAAGCCGTCGAATGGCTCCCTGCCCTTGCGCCCGTCATCGTCGTGGTTCGTCAGGTCTTCGAACATTTTATCCACAGCGCGCTCATCTTGGGGTCCTCCTGTTGCACCCGTGGCTGGACTCTGTCGAAGACCCTTGTTCTCGTTCCAAACCCCTGGACCGTACATTTCCTCGGCCCTCTTGCGCCCGACATCCGTCCTGCCTAGGATCTCGAGAGCCTTACTCCTCTGGCCCGGATCAAGCAGGTTGAGGCCGTCCTCCTGGCCGTTGTTGAGTCGATCCTCCAGCGACATGGATGAGTTGTCATGGACCAGCTGTGGACCTCCGTTTCCGTTGGGCATGAAGAGGCCTGGGTGTAGCGTTGGTCCGCTATCGATATCCATGGCATCGTCCTTGCTTGTTGTCGAATGCCGGCTGCCTCCGACACGTTCGCCATTGGAAATGCTCGGTGGTGTGGCGGACGATTGGTGTGATTTATGGCCAAACATTGGATGCATGGCTGACCCAGGGGGGACCAGTGCCCCGGCTGCCGACGCCGCAACACCGGCTGCGTGGGCATTAGCAGCAGCCTCGGCATTTTGTGCTTTGCGTATCAAGCTCGCGGCCTTCTGCTTCATGTTCTCGGGAAGGTCTTCTGGGTCATCAACGCCGTATTGGGCCAGCAGCTTCTGCAATTTCGTAGGGCGTGGCTTGCGCGTGCTCTTAGACACCTCCAGTACGGGCGGCGGGTTCGGGGCGACGGGGCACCACTTGTGCAGTTCCTGTCTGAAAAAGTTTGTTTCGTAGGCGAGGAGGATCTCGGCGCCCTCAATCTTGCGGAGGTAGAATCGCTGCGTGTCTGCTTCTGATTTGGTCGACACAAGCGGGTTGCAAATGCCCGCGACATGGTTGCGGAATTCTTGCGCGTTGTCAATGATTTGTTGCAGAACTTCTTCCTCTTCCGGCTGGAAGGGAAGGTTGCTAATCTTGTCGGACCACGCAAGCAAATCCTCGAGCTTTGGCCGGGCGGCATCTCGCGGAACCTTTAGACGCCAATCGCAGATGGGGCAGGTATACTTGTCCTCGTCCTTGACCTTGCCGCGAGCAATCTTGAGACACTTTCCATGGTACCTGAGTTCATTAGCCACATTAGACTTGCCGCGATGACGATAGAACACTTACCACTCATGACACAATTCGCACTCGATCATCATGCCGGCCTCGACCTTGCGACAGATGCAAAACACTTCGCGCACACGAGAATCTTCGAAACGGCTGGCCCTCCCTTCCGGGCTTGCTTCTCGCGATGCGGGTTCGGCTGGAGTCCGCGGCTTGTCGTTGACAATGTCGAAGCAATCCTGATTGCGCTCGAGAACATATTCCATGTGACTCTTGAGAATATGCAGAGGGGCGTTTGTCTTGCCGAATAGCTTCTTGCCCTCACGCATCCAGTCCTCGTGACGCTTTTGCTCGCGGCCGAGATCCAACGTACCGTTGGGCTTCGAGTTGAGGTCTTCCAGCTTTCGCATGATTTCAGCCACTTCAGTGTATTTGGGTCGCTTGCGAATGTCGGGATGACGCGATCTCTCGGTCAAGTCCAGGATCTGGCGGTGGGCTTCCCGTTGCTTGTGCAGAATGGCATCCACAGCTGCAAGGGTCTCCTGAGAGACTGGCAGCGAATTGACCGTGACCTGCGTGGAAAGGGCCTCCAACTGGGCGTAGTGCACAGCCTCCGCATAGATGAGTTCGCGCGCCTTCTTCTCCCATACCTGCCCGGCATGCATCTGGTCAAGATAGTAGGTAAGATGGTCGTTGTAGGATGGTATCTCCAGACGCTGGCCCTCTTCGATGAGCTCTTTGACCTCGTTCAAATTGAGGACAACGCTGCGGCTCCGGCGCGCCTTGTCGTTCCAGTTCAGCTGATCAAGGATACGCGACAGTCGGCCAACCTCGGGGATGTCAACATTGAAAGCGCGGCCCTCTTCGAGGAGCTCCTCAATGACTTCTGCCGTGGCTGTGTGCAAGTGCTCCAACGCCTTGTTTGCGTTCTTCTGGAACGTTTCGATGCCGTCGGCTCGCTCGCGCAGTTGAAGGATCTCAGGGCAGTCGAACCCAATGTGTTCCGCTTCTTGAAGCAGGCGGTAGATGTTGCTCACATCGCGCGCATCTCTTTCCTTCTGGTCCGCAACGGAACTCTTACGATTCGTCAGGCCCTTGTCGCTCTTGCGCCGGTTCTGCTGCTTGCGCACAGTGTAATTTGTTGCCTCTTCGACCCACTCATTACATCGATCGACGAATTCCCGCAGTAAAGGCAGCGAAACGAGATCGTAGGGAATGCGTTCGCCCTCGTGAAGGAGAGCACGCAAAGACTTGAGGGACGGTGTCGCCTCTTCCTCGAGCATCTTGTCGTACTTCTCCTCCCAGGCCTCAGGTGTGTGTGCCTTCTCCAACACCTTGGCGAAGGTTGCGGCGATAACATCTTCGGCCCTGCGATACAGGAGCACGTGTTGCTCACCAAGATAGCGCTGGGACTCGGGTACGTCGCAGCACGCATGTTGGCCGGCATGCAGCAGGCAAAGAATCTTGCCCGTCTTGGTGCACTTGAAGCGAGATAGATAGCTGAACGCCTTGCAGTAAGAGCAGAGGTAGTCATCCTCTAAAGGCAGGTCAGCTTCCTCAATCTCAAACGCAAGCGGGCAGTCACTGTTGTTGGCGCCCGTGAGACTGCACTTGTGCCCCTGCGACTGAACATGTTTCGAAATAAAGTCTGCTCGAGCTGCAAGCTCACGCTCGTGGATGCGCTCAAGTGCTGGCGCTAGCCATTTTGCCGTCTGGATGGTCAGGCCGTTTGTTGCTGTTCCCTCGGCTGCCGTCCAGAGAAGTGCGTCGTGCGAAAAGCATGGCTGCTTTCTGAAGTCGCGAAGCCTGTTCACGCCGGAAAGACCAAACGGCTCCCAGTCGCAGGGGGCAAAGTTGACGGCCTCGTTGAAGTTGAAGCCGTGGTTAAAGCCAGCGTGATATGCCTGGGGGAAAGTAATGACAAATTGTCCGGCTCTCTGGTCCAATGCGAAGACCCTGACGCCAGCCTTCTTGAGTTGCTCCGGAGTCAGAAGTGTGACGAGCTGAAAGAGCAAATCCGGCTGTGTCTCGAACAGCTCAGGCACAGCCTCTCTCATCGCCGCCTCAAACTTTTCCGCGTCTTCCCCGGGAATGCCATACCACGTCTTCGTTGCGCCGAAGTGTTGGTAGTTGGCCGAGTACGCGTAGTGATCTTCGTTGTGCCAGCAGAAGGTTGAGAAAATCATGCCCACGTAGACCCAGGGAACCGTCATGCCCGAGATGTCGGACTTGATATGCCTAAACAAACTCTCAGGATGTAGTGGCAAGAGGTTCAGGTTCCAAGGATCGGTTGAGTATGGGTTCTTTGGATGCTTCTCGACGGTTGGGAAGCCAGAGCCATGTGTCGTACAGTGGATGTCGGCGCCATACTCGACCTCGACCGTCTCTTCCATGTCTGCAACTAGGCGCCAGAACTCGGTTTCAACATCCTCCTCGGTAACTGGTCGGTGGCACTTGAGGACCGAATCGTACGGCATCTTTCGTTCGAAGAACCCTTGTTTGAAGTCGGCAGCCTTTTGTTGGAACTGACGAAGCGAATAAAGACCGCCCTCTTCAAATCCATACTGTCCATCGCCTACCAGACAGCGCGGACAGTTCCATTCGGGGTCGACTTTTTGCTTCAATGGGGGGTCCAAACATGAGCCGTGGTAAGCGTGATCACACGATTCGCATACGTGCAGAGGACCCGCCTCATCGGCCTTGCCACAAGTCTCACATTTCTCCCCAGGCGTTGAGTTCTCATCGCGTGGAGGTCTGGGCCCAGACGGTCGGAACAGAGACATGTGAGAGCCGGCCACTGTGGGCACGGCGTCCTTCTTGAGACGCTTGCTGCGCCTGCTGTTGGCACCATCGGCGTCTTCCTTGGGCTCGACCGGGTCCCGCTTGGCGGATTTGAGACTGTCGGAGCTCATCTGACGCTTGAGATTCGTTGCCGGCCCTAGGCCCGACGGACGGTACTCGGGGGTATTCTTCGCTGAGTTGATGGGGGTGCCAAATGCTCGCGGAGGAGTGCTCGTCGCATCGGCATTGGACTGGCGGTTAACGCTGGTGAAGCCCGAGTTTACCGCCGTGAAGCCCCCTGTGTTGATTGCCTTGAAACCAGATGAGACAGGTTGACTTTGTGGTGCTAGTGGTGTGTCGGACATGGGTGTGTCACGATCAGCCTCTTTCTTCGTGTTGAGTGTTGCTTGGAGCGCATCAGAGGCTTGCCGCGCAGGCGACTCGGCTCTGGCGCTGGACGGTGTGTTGACATTGGATGGCTTGAGTGGCGTGCCTGATGGACTCGGGGTATAAGGTCCGCCGTTTTCGAGCTCGAGCTGCTGGTGAACGCCGGGCTTGGCCACTCGGAGGTAATCCTCGTACGGGCAGAGCCATTTTTGGTACGAGTTTTTGAGCGATGTCGACAATGAAGACATGATTTTGCCGCTGTATCCGAGATCACGGCCGATTTCAGCCCACTTCTTTCCCTTGCACACCTTTTCAAAGCCGCCACGCGCCTCCACAGCCTTCTTTAGCCGATAGAGGTCAAGTGGTTTCTTGTCAACATATGGTAAACGGTGCAGGTTGTTACCCTGCTGTTTGTGGAACTTGGCGAGCGCATCGAGGTAAGACATGTTGGCGCGTGTGCCTGCAAAAGTCAGTCGATGGAGCCCGTTGGGTGTGCGTGCCTTGGGAGGGCGCATACTTCCTTCGACCGAGTTCAACTCCTGCTTGCGTGTCCTAAAGTGAAACCGCTACAAGGCTGGTCAGCAGTCGTCTCCCCGGTGTGAGCAACGCGACGTACTTCTGTGTCGATGGCGAACTCGGGATTCCACGAGTCGGGAGGAATAATCTTGCATAGGCCGAATTGCTTGGCCTCGGGCGTGATTTTTCGAATGTATTCGAAAGGGTCCTTCCATTCCTCTTCGGTCGGACAGTACGTCGGCGCCTCCTCGAGTCCGTGTGGTCGGTTCTTCTTCTTCATCGGCTCTTTCGCAGCCGTCGGCTGACCGCGTCGCTCGACCGACGACAAGTCGAGTGGCAGGCTCGTCATGGAGCTCAGGGGGATCTGAGGGTTCGTCGGGTGGTATCCGTTAGAGTTGACCTGGCCGGCCTTCGTCTTGCCGGCACCGACAGCTGGAGACGCTCGCGAGCTCGTAGGCGCGCTTGCATTGCCTCCAGCAGCGACATTGCCAATGGTCGGCGCAGAAACCATTGCGATTGTGTGGGGTGGCTGGAAGGGAGTTTGAGGTCGATCGCCGGACAACCGAGTCGCAGAGAGATCGGGAGACAAGGCAGGTTAGACGGTGGTCATGCGTGCGGCTATCGAGTGTTCAACTGAGTTGTCGCATGGTAGGGAGGTCGAAATCGTCACGTCGCCGAATTCAAGGTCACGCGGGAAAGGAGCCCTTGGGTCGTCCGAGGGGCGAGGGATGGAGGTGGAGAGCTGAAAGGGTTATTGTCAGGTCGGAAGGGTGGGAAAGTTATCTGGGTGTGCGGGTAAAGCTTAGCAAAAGGCTCGAGTGGGCGGCGGACAATGGCGGGTTCGCCAGCCCCCAAGGAAATCGCAGCGGTACTCGGGACAACTAGAAACTAACCTGTTGTTCCTCGACAGAACGTGCAGCGTGGAGGATGTCAGGACGTTGGGATGTCACGCAGGGTGGGAACTCTGGCGCAGAAGACAAAATCGCTATGAGCACCACCGGATCAAGGACGAGGGCGAGTCATGCACGGCCAAGTTTGGGTGTAGTGACAATCGAGGTGGGAGGTGCAGGAGGAAAAAGGTCACGACATTGACAGCACAAGGGAACGGAATGGTGGGAGAGCAGGGTGGAGTGAAAGCGCCGACGTGAGATGGGCAGGTGCATCAGGCGAGGAAATGGGTTAGACAGATGGACGGACAGAAAGACTGGCAAAAGCCGAGGGCAACGAACAGGCCCCCGGCAGATGGGGGCATGGCAGCATATCCCAGTCTACCTACCTACTAGCTGCCTACCTGCCCAAGGTACCTACCTAAGGTGAGGTAAGGTAGGCACGAAACGGACGTGCCTTTCCCTGGCGAGCGCAGGGCCAGCGGCAGGTGTACATGTGTGAAGAGAGTAGGTGCAAGCAAGGTGGCAGGCAGAAGAGGCAAGTGTCTTATGGGTGGGTACCGAAAAGTACCGACCAACAGGCTGGGTTCAGGGTGCGCAGCAGTGTACTCGCAAGTCCTCGGAGGCTGTTGCGGAGTGAGGCAAGTGCGAGGGAGAGCGAGAAGAACGGAACGGAAGGGGCGACCAGGGACCCAAGGACCGCCCGCACCCGGATCTGAGGTTGCAAAATCCAACTGCATGTGGGTCCGCCTGGAACGTCAAGTCGCCAGTCTTCGACCACAGGCATGACTCGATCCGTCGCTTCGGCCTGGGTCAATCGACGGCGAGGTGTCTTGGGCGATGCATTGAATGATGCGATGGTCATTTGTTTCAACGCGCTTTGCATGGCTCTCTCTCGCTGGCCTGTATAATCGATTATTTCGCGCGCAACCATGCGCATTGCGTTTGATTGATTGATGGAAGCAATCTCAACCACGCGACGCCCTTTTTTTTTTTTTTTTTTTTTTTTTTTGTTCCCTTACCTTCTTTTGAGAAGCGAGCCGTAGCGAGCCGCGCCATCCACACAATAACAATCTTGACCTAAGGGCGATAGCAAAGGTGATATACCAGACGTGCGTCTGTTTCTTCTTGCATAATCAAAGCAAAGAAGCACAGCCGTTTCCTCAAGTGCTGCTTCTCTGGGGGGGCGAAATCTTCGCCAATCGAACAGGACCCATATGCCCTGGAATGTCGCTGCGACAAACCTCCAATTGTCGTGGATTCTCAGCGGTCAGACCAGCGAACGCCCCCCCGCCCCAAGCAAGGTCACGCCCCTCGCATGCTTTTTCCTGCCGGGCCTCCACTCCAAAATCTGATATCCAGCGCCATCGGAGCAGGGGGTGAACACTAGTGGTACACCGACGAACCAATCGAACATGCATGACGTTGGCGGCCAGCCCCATTTCTCTTAGCCTGCCTTGCCTGCCCACTCCCTTTCAGTGGACGACCCGATCGGGCGGCTTGACCGAGGGAAGTGTGTATGGTGGGCTGAGTCATGATCGTTTTGGAGTTTATGGTTCGACGTACCAAGGAGGCATGAGCAGAAGTGATACAAGCGTGTGCCGTAGCCTACCTAGGTAGGTGGGTAATGCATCGTATATTGGTGAAAGAGAAGCCATAGCTCGCTGGTCGGTCAACGTTCATGTGTTTCATACTTATGCTATCTGGGTATCATGTCTTCGCTTGACGCTTCTTCTTGACCTTCAGAAGCTTGTCCACCTCGCCCTCGCCCCTGACTCGCAGCGACAGTTCCCTCATCAAGTCATCCCACCGGACCTCACTCCTGCAGCACGGGCACGGCCCCGCCACGGGCAAAACAGCTTCCTCGCTGCTCTCCTGGGCCAGAAGATGGCGGCTCCAGCAGGACAAGTGTCCCGCGCCCTCGCAGCTGCCGTTCGAGCAAATGACGTGTAATCCCCTGCCATGCTCCAATGGTTCTTTGCAAACGACACACGCGCCCTCCCTCTCAAACGTGACAATGGACCGTCCCTTTTCGACGAAATCCTTCATCGGCGCGTGGTCGAGAGGCAGCGCATGGACGCCCCAGTTCTCTTCTGTGCCGGGAGCTGCCGTCGACGACTCTCCAGCTTCGCCAGCCGCCTCGGCGTCCGTCGCCATGGTTCCGCCAGGCCCAAAGTCCGTCAGGATCTGAAGGCCCTTCCTGACCGGCTTCTCAGCAGCGGCACAGCTGTCATTCCACGCCTTGTGCGCCGTCTTGACGAAAAAGTGCAGCTTCAACGGCCACCGCTCGAAGCTCGGCACGCGCAGCAGCAGGTGCAGGTTCGACATGATGGACGTGATGCCGGGCCGCGGACGCTTGGGGTGTCCATTCTTCTTGACGCCCGCGGCGCGCGAGATGCGCGACTCGCTCGGGATGTGCAGTGAGAGGTGCGGGTTCGTCAGCGCCCACCTACGTGGCCTGTCAGCTTTGCGGCTAGGGGGTTAGAGACAGAGAGAGGAAGGGACGCACTCGAATTTCAGAGCGGCAATCATGCTGGGGAAGCCGGAGACGATGGCGATCATTTCCCACGGTCGCAGGCTGCTGCGCGACGTGCGGGCAGCGCCGCCGCGCGCGAGACCATTGTGCTGCTTGAGGCGGCGCGGCGGATTGGGGGTCGAGCCGATGTAGAGGGAGGCGTGGCGGACGGTGGAGCGCAGGATGTAGACGGTGTAAAGCGCGGGAATCGGCCTGGAAAGGACTGCCATCGCGGCAAGCGAGTTCAGCTCATCCTGCTGTGCCTGTGTTGGGTGAAGTGATGGGGGGCGAGGTTGGTGTGGTCATCGTTGGCGGGGCGAAAGTGTCCCTCTGGGTCGCGTCCTCACGTCACCTGAAATGCTAGGCGCGTACAGCCCACAGCAGCAATCTGCAGGTGCTCAAACTTCGTGGCGAGCTTCAACGATTTGTCTTGTGCAACCTAGTTTCCCCTTTTTGACATGGGACACATTCATATCTGGCTCGAACGCCTCCTGTTTGTAGGATAAGCCTGCATTATACTCATCTATGATACACCCCCAGTCCAGTCCACGAAGCCACTGCTCAGTTACAACAAGCCCTGCTTCTGCAAATCATAGTATACCTTCTCGGGCATGACATTGCCCTCGCCGTCCTCCATCTGCACGATGCTGCCGTCATCCACCTTGTTTTTCTTGGCTTCGCGCTGGATTTTCTCCCACAGATTCGTCGCTTGCTCGATGCTAGTGATGTCGCGGAACAAACTCGTATTCGTGATGCCGAGGCACCGCAGGCCGTGAACGTGCCGCGCTTCATTAAAGTGCTTGTCGAACGCCCTCCTGCCCATGTAGACGAAGTTGCCGCAGATCTCACATGGGAACTCGACACCGAGGCCGTGCAGCCTGTACAGCCAGTAGGGAATCGGCTTGCCATCCCACGAGAGGGGCAGCTTCAGCGGGTTGTAAATCTTTTCCTCGCCGTCGTCGTCCTCGCCGTCTTGGTCCTCTGTGCGCTCCTGCTGGTCGCCGCCGGACAGGCTCATCAGGTTGTCGAGCTCCTGCTGGCGCTCACGCTCCGTCATGCCCTGCTTGCGCTCGACGTTGACACGGGTGTCGTCTCGTTCCGTGCTCATGGCCGCCGCCAGGCGCTTCACTCTGTATTCTCGCTCGGCCACGGCGCGCTCCTTCAACCGCGTTGCCGAGATCTTGGCTCCGTTGCCGTTTGTGATTTCCTCCCCGTCTGCCTGCCGCGCTTGTCGCGCTGCTGCGGCCTTGATGTGTTTCCTTCCTGCCAAGTGTGCTTTGTGGACGTTTTCATTCTTGAACTCCTTTTCGCAGTCTTCGCACCATATCGCATCGGGCGTGCTGGTCGTGTTTGCGCCGTTTGCAGCGCCCTCGTTTTTCCATCCAGGGATCTCGTCCTTTTCCCAAGCCGCTTCAAAGTCCGTCTCGAAGCCTGCGAAGACCTTGTCGAGGTTTTCCAGAGGTCGTGTCCGTCTCATGAAGGATTCAAGGTACGCTGACAAGTCACCGACGTATTTGAAGTATTGATCTGTCAGTTTATCGCCTCGTTTCAGGCCACCGGACCCTGGCGCAAAGTTGTCAAAGACCTCCAGGTACTGCAGGTACGTCAAGCGCTTGACGTTGGGCAGGTTGAGATAGGCCTCGTGGGACGTATAGAGATCGAAGAAGCGCCCAAACCCCTCTTCACCAGAGAACAGTGAGTCGACAATGTAGGGCATGGGCGCATCGCCGGCCTTTGTCGCCCGATACCGAGCTTCCAAGTTCTCCGCCTGTTCGTTGGGGTATTTGGCATGGTGATCGCGAACGCCTTTCAGCTGGTTATAAAACTGCTCAAAGGGGTCGCCAGTGCTGAGTTGCTGGATTTCCCGGGAGAGGTGACCGTCGGTGTCGCGGTAGAAATCGAGGAGCTTGGAAGATTGCGCCTGGATCTGGTCCAGCAACTGGGCGACTTCATGGTCGCGGTTCAATCGGTCGCGAATGTGCTTCGGTTCCTCATCAATCCGTTCGGAGATGCCCTGTTCGAGCCGCTCGAGGTCCTCGTGGATGTATCGCTGCTCCTCCAAAACCATGGTGTCGTCGGTTGCGTGCTGGGTGCAAGGCTGTGAGTGGTGTTGTAACGCGCCTCAAAAATTCGAGGCTACCAGTAGCGGAGAAGTTGCTGGCAGCGCGCCCCCCGACAGGTACCTAGGAGGGCCCAGTGGACAAGGTTTAGCACCGGCGCATCTGAATTTCCGGCCGAGGGTGCTCTGAAGTAGCCTGGAAAGCCGGCATGCGCAACCTCAGAGCTCATTCATGAAGATAAAGATAATTTTGAAAGATTCAGAGAGAGAAGCTTCCTCGTCATTATCAGCCAAGCAAGCCCATGTGTAAGTCACATCACTCTTGTTTGTCTGAACCTTCTCAAAAGTGATGCTTGGGTATCAGGGTCAACATGCAGCAGTGACACTCATGAACTGGCCCGTGCGCTTCTTCCCAATCCAAAATTTTGGGTGGAGCCCTGGTTGTCGGCCTTGATCAAGCAATCGCGTTCCATCCAGTCTTGCGCTCTGCGTTCAACAACCTCATCACACCCAACCCCCCAAGACGCAACAACGAACATCACCATGGCTGAAGGAAGCGGCATCGATAGGAAGGCGGAGGAGAGGATGGAATTTTCTACCTCCAAGGAGGTGACTGTCCATCCCACGTTCGAGTCGATGTCTCTCAAGGGTAAGCCGACTGTCAATGCCCCTCGCCAGGAGCACATCAAGCTCTTCCAGGCAACCTGCTAAAAATGCGTCCCCCCAGAGAATCTTCTCCGCGGCATCTATGCCTATGGTTACGAATCTCCCTCGGCCGTCCAGTCTCGCGCCATTGTCCAGGTCTGCAAGGGCCGCGACACCATCGCCCAAGCCCAGTCCGGCACGGGTAAGACTGCTACCTTCTCGATCAGCATGCTCCAGGTCATCGACACGGCCGTCCGCGAATCGCAAGCCCTCGTCCTGTCTCCTACGCGCGAACTTGCGACCCAGATCCAGTCCGTCGTCATGGCTCTCGGCGACTACATGAATGTTCAGTGCCATGCCTGCATCGGCGGCACCAACGTTGGCGAGGACATTCGCAAGCTGGACTATGGTCAACACATCGTGTCTGGCACACCCGGTCGCGTCGCCGACATGATCCGTCGCCGCCACCTGCGCACCCGTCACATTAAAATGCTCGTTCTCGACGAGGCCGACGAGCTGCTCAACCGCGGTTTCCGGGAGCAGATCTACGACGTGTATCGCTACCTCCCGCCCGCCACCCAGGTCGTCGTCGTCAGCGCCACGCTGCCGTATGACGTCCTCGACATGACCACCAAGTTCATGACCGACCCTGTGCGCATTCTTGTCAAGCGTGACGAGCTGACCCTTGAGGGTCTCAAGCAGTACTTCATCGCTGTCGAGAAGGAGGACTGGAAGTTCGACACCCTTTGCGATCTTTACGATACCCTGACCATCACACAGGCCGTCATCTTCTGCAACACGCGCCGCAAGGTCGACTGGCTGACGGACAAGATGCGCGAGGCCAACTTTACCGTGAGCAGCATGCACGGCGACATGCCGCAGAAGGAGCGCGACAGCATTATGCAGGACTTCCGCCAGGGCAACAGCCGTGTGCTCATCTCGACTGATGTTTGGGCACGTGGTATCGACGTGCAGCAGGTCAGCTTGGTCATCAACTACGATCTGCCGAGCAACCGCGAGAACTACATCCACCGTATTGGTCGTAGCGGCCGCTTTGGTCGCAAGGGTGTCGCCATCAACTTTGTTACCAGCGAGGATGTGCGTATCCTGCGTGATATTGAGTGTAAGTAAACCCTTTCTTTCGAAAGCGCAACGCGAGCTCATTGACTAACCATGGCCCAGTGTACTACTCGACTCAGATCGACGAGATGCCCATGAACGTGGCCGATCTCATTTCTTGATCCTGCCATGTGGTCTGTCATTTACAGCTACCGGCGTTAGGCGTCTGCGGATAGCATCGCGCAAAGCCAGAAAAGAAGACTAGGCCGGCCGGAAGACGCCGGCCAGGAGCAGTGGAGGAAGGGGGCCCTGGCCAACATGAAGTAAGTGCAGCCATGCGACCCTTATTACAATAGCCATGCGAAAGACCCAATGCTGACAGATTCGCATCATAGGCCAGGGGGAAAACAAGATTGCACCAAACAAAATCATGACAGCAGGAGGCACCCAGCGCAACACGCATCGCAATCCAGAGCCGTCAAGGGGCTTCGGGGGGGTCCACACCGGGCCTGATTGGAGCTGCGTGTTCGATGCGCTCGATTTCGAAATGTGATAGTGTGTTAATTGATGATTTGACTTTGGCCAAACGGCGGCAAACACCGCTTTCTTCACTCAATAGTGACGAGACGGGTGCAAAACGCGTTAATGGTAGTCTGTAGTTTGGGCCCGGGGAGACGAGATCCCTGTCTTCCGGCTCGCCGGTGACCAGGATGCGTGCAACTCCACGGTGAGCTTTGGTAATCTCAGAAGCTTGAGCCAGGCCACTCGGCTTGGAAGCTGAGGTACGAGGAGGTACGGTAGACTGGCATTTCCAGTGCCTTGATCTGCCAGGGATGCATCGTGAGCGATGGCGGGATTTCCAGGTACCGTTGGCCCATTTCGGGCTGCTGCCTGCCCCCAAGTCCACTGCGTCGTAAGGCGCTCACCTTCCCCCACAGGACCTAAACTCACTAAGAGACCTACCTGGGTACCTTAACTTACCGCAAGGCGCCCGGCCTAGGTCCTCAGTGCAGTATCCACTGCTTCGGAAGCTTTTAGTACCTTATTACCAAGAAGTCAAACCTCCATCATGCAACTGCCGCGGAATCCTCAACACAATATTACGTGACACGCGGCCGTATTTCCATCGACATCCGTCATTGTCTCGTCACTCTCACCCTTGAACGTTGTATCACCATACAATGAACCACACACCCTGGTTAGTGGCCGACCCTGCAGAGTTGGCAACGTGCCATGGATAAGGCATCGCCCAAAGCCAAGGTACATACACCAAAGCAAATCTGCCAGGCCAGATTCAGAGCCATCACGCGATGGTCTCACCAGCATGTGTTTTCAGGTCTCACCTTCAGTATACGTAGCACTCAGGTCACCAGCGCCAAGATGAACGTTTTCGTCAGCACGGAACCGGCGGCTACTGGGAAAGATCAATAACCTCGGGAGTCCGCCGGGCCCTTTCCGTGGCGTCGGTAGACTACCACAACGTGGCTACACTTCTCGATCGCGAGTCCACAGAACTTGAACAAATAAGCCATGGCAGACGCAATCAGGGAGACATCCCTCCAGCCTTCGCGTAGCACCTGCCTGCCGGCCAACAAAAACTCCCAGGCTGTTCCCTTGATGCAACAATAGAGTGCAACATCTCCGAGGGGGGTGAAGCAACCACGTCCCAACCGAACACGAGCAGGGATCTTTCTTTTGGTGTGCTAAGCTCGCGTCCAAGCGTCCCAACCGACCCCTGAGGGTGGACATGCTTCTTCCGCCAGTCGGCTGATCACATCTCGCAGGCTGGTGGCGCCGCTGCGATCCTGGTATTCGCCCGTCCATCAGTTCTGGATCTTCAGCTCCTGAGGCGTGAAGGTCCTTTTCCCGGTATTTCTTTTCTCAATGCCGCTCTTGTTGCCACGGATCGATCATTAGCGTTTGGGCGCAGCGGCCGAGGGCGGCCCGCTGTTACCCTTGGGCACCGCGCTGTTGGGCCTTGGGGGTTTGCGACCTGCTGGGACCGACAGGGAGAATGATAATAATACACCGCATGCCCAGGTCGTCCCTCGAAGGCCCTTGTTCTTTGATACTGGCCCGTTTTACGTCGATGTCTGCCCAGAGGTCGCTGTCGAATCTGACTTGCTTTCACCGACCGTATCGTATCGGTCTTCTGTCTTCAAGCTGGCCTTACTCATACTCTTCTTAATGGCCGCCATGATGAAGATGCCCTGACGTCCCGCCCACCACGAAGCAACAACCGCCAAAAGCCTGACCTCCGGTCTTCGAGGATGCTACCGACTCCGATCGATGGGACTTCGAAAGATGAGGGCATTCAAAATTATGATGGAGTATATGATACCACCAATACAACCGCCATTCCTTCCTGGTTGGCGGGCCCGACTCCCGGGCCTGACCACTTCAGAGGGCAGTCCGTAGCCCCGGTGGCGGTCGTCACAGGAGTCGTTGCTGCGCTGTTAGTTGGCCTGCGGTTCTACACGAGGGCCAGGATACTGCGCGCAGTCCACCTGGACGACTGGCTCATTCTTCTCTCCCTTGTTCTCGGTCTGGGAACGAGCGCCACCATGATAACTCGTCAGTCGGCCGGCCCTGCGTTTCCCTCCATTGCTAATGATCGTATCAGAACTCAGTCAGGGCTTGGGCCGTCATTTCTACTATGTCAGCGACAGCTTCAGTGATTACCTCAAAGCCGGGCTCGCCGCGAGCCTCCTGTACACCGCTAGCCTCTTCTCGACCAAAGTCTCCATTCTCTGTCTTTACATCAGGATATTCTCGTACCAGGGAGTCCAACTTCTGAGCAAGATGCTGCTTGCGATCGTCGTCATCTCCCATACGTGGATCATCGCAAGCATCCTAACGACCTGCGTTCCTCTTGATTCCATATGGGTCGTCGAGAAGAAACCGTCATTCTGTCACAGTTTCAGCGTCTTCTGGGCCAACGCCGGCCTCAATATGGCTACCGATCTTTTGATTTTCCTTTTACCCCTTCCCATACTCTTCAAGCTTCGACTGCCCAGGCGTCAGAAGTACAGCCTATATTTTGTTTTTCTCCTTGCGTTTGGGTAGGAAAGATCCCGCTTGCCTCTTGACGAGTAATCGCTAACATGGCTTCTCAGCGTCTGTGTCATCTCTGTCGTTCGCCTGACGAATCTGTTGAAGCACAAAGACCCGTTGTACTTCTTCATGGACGTTACGTGGACCGCCGTCCCGATCGCCAACTTGAACTGCATCGAAGTGCACACGGCCATCGTTTGCGCCTGCCTCACGACCATCAAGCCTTTGCTTGTGCAATGGTTTCCCTTTTTGCTGTCCTCTCGGCCACCGGAGAGCCCCATGACATATCCCGTACCACGCTACGACAGGCCTCTCACCATCGGCACTCAGATCACGCGACATATTCGACCTCCCCGCTACTCCTTTGTCAGTTCAGTCCACACGAGTGACTTCAAATACGACACCACCGACGAGGGCGACAACCACTTTCAGCTGCCCATCTTTGCGCCAGGCGACGGAGACGGCCGGTTTGGAAGCAACAACAGCTACCATCTGGTGGATCTTGAGAGAGACGGGAGCATGCACGACGGAAGGGGGTCGTCTTCGAGGCCGAGCAGCTCGAGACCGTCTAGCTGGCCCATGCAGTCGTTGCCGCCACGAGCGATGACACCCGAGTGGCCACTCAAGTCACCGACGTCACGCAGCGGCTTGATGGAGGGGCGAGAAAGCGAAGAGATTATTGCGGTGCCAGAAATTACCTATTTGCGGGAGGGCCGTCTTTCTCATGAAGTCTTGCAAGGATATGGCCATGCAAGAACGAGCATGCACGGATGGATTTGAAGACTGGCCCTCCTGCCCCGAGACACGAAAGGTCTCGAGAGCCCCCAAAGAACGAACCCTGGACTCCAGCAAGAGCCGGAGGGTGACGAAACACAGGGCGAGGATTTCTCCATCATGGCTGATCCTGATATCGGCCCACAACGACCCGGAGCCCGCAGCCTCCATCGTCCCGGTCCCGGCGTCGAGTACGCGCGCCCACGGACCAAAATCCCCGACAGCCGTCCGACAACCGAAGGCAAAGATCGGCTGGTGTACCGCGGCGCATGCTCAATGGTTCTCACCACGTGGGGGTCGGGGATTCATTCTCCCGTCGTGATCGCTGCCAAAATGGCACCACCGATATCCCCGCGTCGTGTCGACACGAATGCACGCCGTGTCATTGATCCAGCAACCGCATTCGCGGGGGATGGTCAATCTCAACATGCGGGCAACCACTTCTTGGCTCGACTCCTTATCAGCCTCGCAAATGTCATCATTGCAAATCGGGGGAGCGATGTCGCAGCGTTTGGCAGAAAGCTATCATTTCGGCGTGATTATCAACCCAATGCAACAACTGTCGCGGCCGAGGCTGGCGTCGTGTAGTGTTATTGATTGGATCGCCGCTTGAAGCGGTTGAATGATGCAAGTGGCAGAATACATGCGGTCGATCACGTAATGCTACGCGGTCATTTGGAGATGATTGAGAGGATCATCGATGTGTGGGAGGGGGAAAGTGTTGAGTGAGGGGTCAAGGCATACCAAGCATAAATGAAGCGATACCCATTTGAAGAGAGAGTGTGAATGGCCTGGATAGACAGCATTGAAGATAAGGTAGTCAAGACATTTTCAAACACATCCAATATTTCTCCTTCGAGCAACCGCAAAGATGGCACCCTCAGCCACAGAGACAGCCCCGGCCAAGATTGAAGTCGATGATATCCAGGTGAAGAAGCTGGCCATCAGCGAGAAGCCTGCTGCACCCGCCTTGGAGCAGACAGAGGAGCCGCTGCCCGAGCTGCGGACTGACCACCGCGAACCCCTGAAGCTCAGCGGTGCCCTCGACAAGTACGAGCACATCGAGGTGACGCCCGTCATTGGTCGGGAGTACGTCAACGTAAACCTGGCCGAGCTGCTGAGGGCACCCAACTCTGACGATCTCATCCGTGACCTGGCCATTACAGGCAAGTCTTCCTTCTCTCTCTCTCTCTATCTCAGCATCCACGTTGAGGCTAACTCGTGACACACAGTCTCGCAACGCGGTGTCGTCTTTTTCCGCAAGCAGGACGACGTGACGAATGATCTCCAGAAAGAGCTTGTCCAGCGTCTGGGCGAGCTCTCGGGCAAGCCGTCGACATCGAAGCTGCATATCCACCCGATCAACAACGCAGGCCGCGGCGATGACAAGGACGACGAGATCAGCGTCATCTCGAGCGAGCAGGCCAAGAGGCTGTACCTGCATCGCTTCCTGAACTACAACAAGAAGCAGAGCCAGAGGTCGCAATGGCACTCGGACATCACGTTCGAGCCCATTCCGAGCGATTATGCCCTGCTCCGACTTACGCAGTTGCCCGAGACGGGCGGTGGTGAGCTCCCATTTTTTCCCCCTTAGTTCCGTTCAACCCTCATAGATCATGGAGCCAATATCTTGGACGAAGACCATCGCTGACGTACGGCCAGACACGCTTTGGGCTTCAGGCTACGAAGTCTACGACCGCATCTCGACGCCCCTGCAGGGTTTCCTCGACAGCCTGACGGCGACGTACGCGCAGCCCGGGTTCAACGAGGCGGCCGACAAGAACGGCTTCAAGATCTACAGCGCCGAGCGCGGCGCGCCCGAGAACGTCGGCGAGCTGCTCGAGGCGATCCACCCCGTCATCCGCACGAACCCCGTCACTGGCTGGAAGAGCGTCTTCGCCGTCGGCCACCACGTGCAGAAGATCAACGGGCTCTCGGACGACGAGTCGAAGCACTTCCTCGCGTGGTTCGTGCAGCTCATTGTCGAGAACCACGACCTGCAGGTGCGGTTCAAGTGGAGGGACGTCAACGACGTGGCCATCTGGGACAACCGGTCGGTGTACCACGCCGCCACGCCGGATTACCTGTTTGAGAACCTCGGAGAGAGGCAAGGGTCGAGGGCCGTGAGCTTGGGCGAGAGGCCTTATTTCGACCCCCGGAGCACCAGCCGCAGGGAAGCCATCAAGGCGGAAGTGCTTGCTGCTGCTGGGCAGAAGGAGGCGGAGCAGTGATGTTGCTACGGGGTTATGGCTTTCCTTTCGTAACATGTCTGAATGAATACGGTATGCAGTACACGGACAGAACGTACAAACAAGATCGTCTCAACTCGTGGTGCCATGTATATGTACAAGGCAAATTTTTTGAGCCACGCTTATGACTGAACAAGGTATGACATCGCCAGACCTGGCTCATCTGGCGGACCCTCACAACGCGATGTGAGGCTGTAGTCGGCCCTCCGACAAGGGTGATGAGAGACATGCGAGCACGTTCAACAAAACACTGTCAAGCTGGATATGTAGATCACAGAAAAGAAACGGAGTCCGGTTGGTTGCTTCGGGCCCCGAGATCAACGAAGGATCCTTCCCAATATTTATCTTTGGCGCACCCTTCGTCCAAAGACGTACCGACAACGTAAGTTCATCAGGCCGAAGCCCGTTAGCTGTGCTGTTGGCGGGTGGCCATTTCTATCTGAGGAGGGAAAGAGGAAAGCAAAAGCGAAGCTGGAGCAAAAAATCGCGACTTTGATGCGGATTGCAAGATGGCCTGTGCGCGTGTCTGCAGAAGCAGCACGTGACTCGAATCACGTGCTTTGCAGAGGACGGGTGGACCCCTTGGATTAGGAAGTCATGGCAGGTGATTGGCCCCGGCTGCCGAGGAACCGAGGGCATTCCGCTGGATTTCGAGAGCTGCGCGGTTGACATCAACACTTTGCTAGTGATTGCTTGCCTGTCATCGATTGATACACGCGACTGCTCCGCCTACCAACGCCCTCGACCGATCAATTACAGTCGTCCACGATACCCCGATTTCTCGACAAGATGATTGCGCAAAGGGTGGGAGTGTCGGCCGCGCGCCGAGGTGCGTTCCCTACCCCCCCCTCCCGAATCAATGGCCACACTTGTAGCATCGCGAGCAGCCTCATTGAAGCCACCCCGAAAGAGCCTTACGAATGTCGAGCTAACCTCTTCCGCCAGCTGTGGCCGCGCCCAGCACCTTCTTCACTACCCAGGCCCCTAGGCTGGCTCTCTCTACCTCTCAGATCCGGTGCGTGCCTTTCATCCTCTCTCTCCCCCTCTGCTCGCCATTGAACAGCATCCTCCTAACCTCGACACGTGCAGCCCCGTCGGCACCGCCAAGCTGACGCCCGCCGAGGGCCAGTCCATCCTCGCCGCCCAGCGCCTCCAGCGCCCGACCTCTCCTCACCTGACTGCCTACCGCATGGACCAGACCTGGTTCGGCGCCTCCATCTGGACCCGTTTCACCGGCGGCGGCCTCTCCGCCGCTCTCTACGTCTACCTTGGCGCCTACGTCGCCGCGCCCCTGCTCGGCTGGCACATCGAGTCCGCCACCGTCGCCGCCGCCTTCGGTGCCCTGCCTCTGGCCGTCAAGGGTGGCATCAAGTTCCTCGTCGCATGGCCCTTCATGTTCCACTGCATCAACGGCGTCAGGCATCTGACCTACGACCTCGGCCTCGGCTTCGCGAAGAAGCAGATCGCCCAGTACGGATGGATCGTCTGGGGCTCCAGTCTCGTCGCTGGACTGTACACTGCTTTCCTGCTGTAGATTACCCCGGCATGAGGACGGAACCGGGGGGGGCTGGCATGCAGACGAGACTGAGAGAGTGGAGGAGCGGTGAAGAGGAGGAGGAAGCAGAAGACTCGAGATGAACAGCTGCACGCACATCAGAGACGGAGCGTTGAGGAAAGGAGGCGACGATATCAATAATGCAGTCGCCGCGGGGGAAGAGGGGGTCCCCCAGAACCGCGGGCCAATGTGTGCTATAGAAATTATTTCTTCGACTTTGTATACCATGACCATGCCGTCCGTTTTTACCAACCGTAACGCCATTTTGCGCCGACCCGTCTTCGTCGTCACTCTAGTGTCGCACCCGTGAACACCCACCTCTCACCCGGCTACTGGATCGTCCGCGCCTCGAGCACCTGCTCCACGAGCCTCTTGTTCCCCAAGCCGGCGATCCTTTCGCCGAGGATGGGCCCGATGAATTCCTTCAGCTCGGCCGTCTGCGTTGCCGCCGGCCCGCCGTTGACGCCGTTCGCCCGAGCCCTGTCATCGGCCACGAGCGTCGCGATCGCCCGGACGATGCCGCCCACGAGCAGCTCGAAGTCGAGCCCCTCGCCCTTGTCCTTGAGCCGCTGCAGGACCTCGTCGCTGTACGCCCGGAGGTACTTGAGCACGAGCACGCGCACGGCCTCGGGCCCGCCGGCCGCCGCGAGCCCTGTGATGGCGCCGTAGTGCGCGGCCGGCAGCTTGTCCGGGTCCATGAAGAACTTGAGACACGTGCGGACGAGTTTGGGGCGGAGGAGGTGGTTGGAGGCGGCGTAGCGCAGGGCAATCTTGCCGAGGAGCGAGGCCGAGAACTCGCGCGAGCTCGTACTGGTCCTTTCGTGGCGTCGTCGGCGCCCAGCTTGCGGCCGAGCAGGCAGGTGAGGACGGGCGCAGCGATGGCGTTGGCGTACGGGTCGAGTAACAGGTTTGTGTTCTCAATGAGAGCCTCTGTGAGCTCCTTGACGCGTCGGAGGGTGAAGACGTCGTCGAGCCGGTGGGTCACCTGGTTTCGCGACTATGTTGATATAGTAGGGGATCAGCTGTGCAGGCCTAGGGTCCGTACGGACGGAGGCGAGAGCGGCATGGCGGAGCCGGCCCACCTCGTCGTCTGGGTTGTCGTCGAGGAGAGCGTTTTGGACCTTCTCCAAAGTAGAGAACCGAGCTCCTTGGAGATGATGTGTTGACTGTCGGTCGGAGCGAGACGTTGTCGTTGCCCCGCAAGAGCGGCCATGGCGGGGTTAGCCCCCAGGCCCTTTCGGTAGCAACTCCTGGCTGCGAGACTCGGCGGTCGTCGGGTTCTGGGGGATGGACGGCTGAACACCCTCAATGGCGAGCCAGTGGGCTGGGGGATTGAAGCGTTAGCGGGAGCATGGGAAAACTTCAGCTGGCCCACCTACCAGTGAAGCTCATGTCGCGCGGCACCTTGGGCAGGGGCGCGTTGATCAGCTTCTCGAAGTCGACCTCTTCATCCTCCAAGTAGTAAAGTGGCTGGCCGGGACCGAGGCTTGCCTCTCCATAGCGTAGCGGGCGCGTTGATTCGTATCCGTAGAGGGGTTCGACATCAAGAACGCGAAGGGCTTGTGCTATATCGCCGACAGTAAGGGTGGTGCGGCGCGCCGCGCGCATGAAGCGGAGGGCCTCAATCACGACCTGGCCGATGCGGTACTCAGCATCTTGCGTTAGAACGCGGAGAGCATCTTCGTTCAGAGAAGAAATTCCAACGGACTCGGCGACGTCCTTCACATTCTCTGGATTCCAGAGGAGCTTCGTTTCGGGCTGCGCGGGTTGGGCCATCGCAGCGGCGTTGATAATGCCTGGCTTTTGCAGTTACACGGGGGGTGAAGCTGGCATGTCAAGTCGCGACGGATTGGAGTTCGGAGTTGTCACCACGGAATTGAACAAAGTGGATTGATTGTTGTTAAGGTACAAAAGGAGACTTCCAGAAGTCCAAACGAAGGTAATTGGTCAGATCCAGCATCGGTAAGGAGTCTTACCGGGGCGATAACGACAGAACAAATGCATCAAATGAGGACTCCACATTTGGGAGATGAAAGTACTCCTGGGTCACAGAACAGAACCTTGCCTGATCGGCAACACACCCCCTCAGATGGGTAGGCGAGCCTCTCTCTGACCATCTGAACCACGAAAGATCAGGCAGATGCCTGTTGGCGGCTTTTGGTAGAGAATTTGGTGCCTTTGGAACAGTTGGCGTTCTCAGGGCAGATGAAGGAAATCGTGCTTGTGAAGCAAATAAGGATGTGTGTAAGTGTTAGGAGAGGTGGGCGAAATTGAGCAAGCTGTTCACTGGTGGACCGCTGGTACGCACTCCATCTGCAGAAGCTTCACGAAGTTCTGATGCTTCTGAGTCGGGAGAATCTTTGTAAGCCCATCGCTCACTATCTTGTCAGTGCTCATCCAGTCCACGGATATCTTCCCCTGTCTGACTGTTTGTCGGATCCAAAGACGATGGATGTCAACATGCTTGAGCTTCGTAGTGGCTTGAGGCCTCTCACTAGTGAGTAACAGCAGCGTTTGGCGGTTATCACAGAACATCTGGATCGGAACCTTGCCATGAAAACGTAGCTGAAGCTCCTTGATCAGACGAAGAGTGGCAAGGTAGTTCCTCGCTGCGACACTGAGGGCCACCAGCTCAGCTTCGGTGCTAGAAGTGACCACGGATCGCTGCTTTGTAGCTTTCCAGTCAATTGGACCTCCAAAGAGCATGGTGGTGTATCCTTGTGAGCTAAATCTGGTGATGGGATCATCGCCGAATGATGCGTCGCTCGCACAATACAGCGATGTAGAATGGTCTCCTGATCCTCCGTAGGACAGCGAGAGAGTCCTTGTGCGATAGAGGTAGCGGAGACAGTGGTCTGCTGCAAGGTGATGGAGTTCTGTCGGCCTGAGCAGAGACTCCGCAAGTCTTGAGGCAGCTTTGGCCACATCAGGTCGTGTTGTGGTTGCTGCGTAATTGATGGAACCAATTTTGCGTTGGTATAGTTGAATGGATTCAGCAGAGGCTTCGTAATCCTTTGGAGCAGGTGCTGGGTCTGTTGATAGAGGCGTCAAATGACCTCTGGTGGATGGCTGGAGGTTGAGGTCCTTCATCTTTTCAGTGATGTAGTTCTCCAGAGACAGCCAGAGCTTGCGCTGGCTACGATCTCTGACCACTCTGATGCCTAAGAACCATCTGACCTCGCCAAGTTCTCGCATCTCGAACAGAGACTTGAGCTGGCTCTTCAGCTCTTCGGCCGCTTGGCGATCCTCTTTGCGGTTCATGAGGATGATGTCGTCAACGTAGAAGAACATGATCATGCCTCTGCCCATGAAGACACAGTTATCTTCCTCGAGAGCCACGAGGCCGATCTTCCGCATAGCCTCGGACAGCAGCTTGTGCCAGAGAAGCGGTGATCGGCGCAAACCGTACAAAGCTCTCTTCAGCTTGAAAATCGTGCGCCTCTGTGGAGCGCCCTTCTTCTGTTGCATCTCCTGCATGAGATCCCAGCCCTGAGGGGCCCAGACGTAGACTGTCTCGTCGAGGTGTGCATTTGGAAAGGCGTTGACGGCATCCAACTGGTGCGTGTCTAGGTCAAACTCTGCACAGATGGCCATCAACGTTCTGAACGTCTTGGCTGCCAGTGTCGACGCGTATGTTTCCATCTCATTCTTGGGCTGTTGGTCTCCTCGTACGCAGAGCCTGGCCTTGAACTTGGTCACGTAGCCGGTGGAGTCAACCTTGTATTTCCAGACCCAGGTCAACCCGAGAACCTTGTGTATTTCCTGGTCGACCGATTCGAAGGGGACTTGCTCGATTGTGTCCATATTTTCAATGGTGTTGACCTCCTGGACGCTTGCTTCTAGCCACTGCTTTTTGTGATCAGAATGAAGCATCTCCTTCCAGGATCTTGGCTCCGCGGGCATATCTGTTCGGAGAAGCGGTTTCTTGTTCGATGGAGTCTGAGTGTGAAAGAATGAGTATTCCACGGTCAAATGTGATGATGGAGGCATTTTCTTGCTGCGGCGGGCTCCTAGAGCCTGGTCGGTGGGGGTGCCGTCTTTGAACTGTGACGGCTTTCTGTCTCTAGCGCTCCTTCGAGTGCCTTGGATTTGTGTTGATGGCGACGGCTGTGGGGCTGGTGCCACTGATGGTCGGGCCTCCACAGTCTCTGTCTCGTCTTCAGCTGAACTTTGATCAGCTGGTGTGTGTTGAGGTGTTGATTCAGGGCTCCGAGCTACTTCGATAGTGTCTTCAATAGCCTCTTCAGTCACTTGAATGGTGTCTGGCACGGGGATCGTGTCTTCCACAGCATCTTCAGCCCCTTGAATGGTGTCTATTACGGCATCTTCCACCCCCTCAGAGACAGCTGGCTGAA